GTGGTAAATGAAGAGTGTCTGCACCCGTCTAGAAGTGCATAGCTCCTTGCAGAAGTAGAGACCAGAGAGCTTGTGCACTCTCTGGGGTGGAGGCTTGGCACCAGGCAGAAAGCTGATTTGAGAGGAGGGTGCTAGAATGGTATGCTGCGGAGCAGGCTCCAGCTCTCAGCCTTGGGAAAGTCACACCAGCTCCCTTTCTGTCAGCCACCCTGTGGGCACATTCACATTCATGTTTTGGTGTGGATCAAGAGCACGCTTTTGGAGTGAATCTCCAGACCATTCTCACTTACGACGTTTTGGTTTACCCAGCAGTGGTGAGTACACAAAGTGCATGCAGATGGCACTAAAGCAGAAGACAGGCGCCAGGAGTGCACCTGATGCATTCTGAGTGCTTATGGGGCCCTCAGTCCATAGGCCCAGGCTGCAGTGAATCTGAAGAAAAACCTATGGAAAAGTGTGAACATCATTCAGGTCCTCAGCACCAAGTGATCGGATCAGATTGATCCACATTACTTGCTAATATAGATGTATACTAGGTGGATGTAGCCTAGAGGTAGTCAGGGGGCATGGCTGTTTTGGGGGTATGCCTTCATTGTCTTCCTTGTGAAGCACATTATTGCATACATTCTAGCACTCAGCCTATATTTAACCTACCTCTTTGATTCGAAGCACTTTTCCTTAAAGAATACGCTTGAAATGTTAGGATGGAAAACTCGATCTTGCTAGATACTTTCCAATCCATTTTTTATCCCTTGAGAAAATTTTCAGTAGTGTTCTGGTTTTAAGACTTTGCATTATGGGGAAAATATGGAAAGTCTTATGTAAAAAAATCCAATAAAGTAGCTTTGTAATTTAATTCTGAACATGACTGTTGTTACTATTAAATGGTGTAAACACAGACCGAGTGCAATAAACCTCACTTCCAGTTAGCATTAATAATATTAATGATCAGTACTTAAATCACATGCCATGTTCCAGGACTGTAAAAGAAACATTACCAGAGATTTTGCATGTCTGGTGCTGACATAATTTAAACCTGGCATAAAATTGTCTTGTCTGAAGGAATTTATTCAAGCTGCAGGGCGGAGAGGAAAAAGCAGAATAGGAAATCTCTCTTTCTCCCACAGGCTCTGTGTGCACCATCCCTCCCTGCCCCCAGAAGGCACCCCCTCCCCAAAACTTTCCCACTTAAGACACTGTGTAAGGACTGGAGCTCCTGTCTCCGTTTGACCTAACCCAGCCGGGATGAGCTGCTTGGTACTCCGGTCACATTTACTCTCGCTGTAGACCAGCTCCCGAACTGTTGCGATCAAAATGCTGGATCAGCAGCTCGCAGGCAGGCACGCGCGCACGCACACACACACACTTCTTATCACACGCACACCGTCAGGAGATTAGCCCGTATTTTCCCATGTAAGAGCGGCAGCTTCCCCCTTTCCTTCTAACACTCCTTCCCCGCCGGCTTTTTCCTCCTCTCCTCTCCTGCCCTTTCCCCCCTTTCCCCCCTCCTTCCCCGGCCCCCCCGCCCCACGCGCCCCGCAGGCAGCCGCGGAGCCGCGGCGGGGAGCGGAGCCCGGCGGCGCCCGGCGCC